TAGAAATTATTTTAAGAAAATAAAGATATTTTTGTGTTTCTTAATTATAAATAAGTTTTAAAAGCGTTCGCGACAAAAAAAACTTTATTTCTAGTATTATAATGTAGAATATAATGAACTCAATAATTACAAAAAAGTTGTACTCGTATAATTGATCAGGAATAATCAATACTGACGGTGCCCTATGGAAGGAGCAAAGGGCATTCCTGCATACAGTGCTCCGCAAACTGGGCGCTAAAAGCTTTCTTCAGGGCAGCAATTGTCTCGAGCATAAGATTCGGGTAAATCTCCACTTTTTTCATACCTCTCCCCATAAACTTTAATCAAATAAAATCCAAAATATCTGAAAGTATGGACAGTAATGAGTATTTTTGTGCTCATATTTTGGTGATTATTTGGTGCCGAAGATTGCACTCACTTATGTTCGCAACGAAAACGGAGGTGAAGGTCGGAGTCCACGTCCTGAAAGAGTTACTAGAGTTTCGCACACTGAGAGCAGGGACAGCATATGCTGGTGACGACCGGACGCGGCAGTCGTTACACGTCGGATCTCTGCTCATGAGTATGACGTTCAAGAACTCCGAGGACAAGACGTTTCTGCATCTGCTGGGCCTCATGGAGGAGGGCTTCAAGCTGTTCACCCTCGCGATGCCCGTCAACTTCTTCCCGTTCCTGCGGTTCGTTCCCGGCGTGAACTACGCCTACCAGAAGATCATACAGAACCGCACGGAGACCTCCTCCTACTTCAAGAAGATCGTGGACGAGCACCGGCGCACACTGGACAGGGAGGAGATCCGCGACTTCGTCGACGCCTATCTTGTGCAACAGGAAAAGTACAAAACCTCTGGACAGCACTCGTACTTCTCGGAGGAGCAGCTGATCCAAGTGATGAACGACATATTCAGCGCCGGCCTCGAGAACGTCACGTCCACCATCGAGTGGGCCGTACTGTTCCTGATGCTCAACCCGCGCGTCCAGAAGCGCATCCAATCGGAGATCGACGAAGTGGTGGGCAGTAAACGACTGCCGCAGTTGGAGGACATGAGTCGCATGCCGTACACGGAGGCCACCTTCTGGGAAGTGCTGCGACGATCCAATGTCATCGCACTGGGAAACACGCACAACACTCTTGAGTACGTTTGCCATTCATTTGCATTCATAAGTTATCTTTGAGTTTTGACATTTGAATTGTTTTTAACACCAATTCCTATCCGAAACAAACAGAGACTCAACCCTTTGTGGCTACAGAATACCCGCCGGAACTCATATATTGCCAAATTTATATGCAATTAATATGGACCCAAACCTGTGGATAGAGCCGGAAAAGTTTGAGCCCCAGAGGTTCCTCAGGAATGGGAAGGTCTATAAACCGGACCATTTTATACCATTTTCTGTCGGTATGTCTAACGCTTCCTAATTCTCATGTCTTTGAAACCAATTTAAAGCCAATTATTGACACAACTCTTTAGGTCGACGAATGTGTTTGGGAGACGTGTTGACCAAAATGGAAGTCTTTCTATTTTTATCAAGCTTATTACAAGAGTTTGACTTATGTGTGCCCGATCACGCCGACCCTCCCAAGGCCCTGGGCATAGTGGCCGCCTCCATGGCACCCAAACCATACCAGGTGTGCGCCGTTCCCCGCAATCGTTGCCAATGATCGCGCCCTTAGTTTAACGTATTTTTTGTTGTTTTTTAATTACTTAACAAATTTAGTTTTTTTAAATGTATTTACTTAAGAATTTTGTTGATTTTTTAATTTAATCCCATTTTTCCAATTGAATACTCATTACATAAAATAACTTATAGTTCAAATAAAATAAATTGTTATGCATTTTATATACTATGAAAAACCTATGAAACACTGCTCGCCCGTAGTGTACAAACTTATTGACTGTATTTATTACTGTACTAAGTTATAGTGTACTGTATGTAAGTATTTCTTAAGTTATTTCTTTAGTTTCATTAAATAATTTAAAACTAAAATAATTTTCTATAAGTTATCATTGAAACGTACAAAAATTCACATGTTATATCGAATTTAATGCTAAACGTATAGTTATAGGTTCATTTTTATTGACAAAACTTTCAAATTGTATATATTGTAAAATATTGCCTCATTTGTTACTTATAAATAAAAATTATTTAAGTTATTTTCTTATATTCTGAATTTAATGCACTTTTAACTTGTAAGACTACAATGTAAGTACTTTAGTATTAATAAATGTTTAGCATAATCAATTTTCGTATTACTGTTAACTTAATACAGTATGTGCAGCTATTCTACAGTATGATACGAATTCATACAGTATAAGCCTATAATGATTTAAAAGTTATCTGTATCAGTTTACTAATTCTAAAACTCTTGTATTACTATAAAATAAATATATTCAATAAAATACACTTACAGCATAAAAATGTCCATGTTAACCTTAATTTAATTAAACAGGCATATAGTATTCTTAACAGAATATTCTTAAATAGTTCCGATTGTACAGTATATTAGTCTTATATAAGTATATAAGTATATTATATATAAATTACAGCAATTGATATATAAATTAGGAATCACAATTTATTTGATCACAACCTTAATCCATGCCATACCCCACCCCTTCCACACAGCCCTCCCAATGAGGAGGGGCTCACACAGACTCACTCCACCACACGCTCTGAGACAGCGTAACGTTGTTTACGAAATGTTTGTTTACTTCTAAACTCATAAGTGTTTCTCATTTTGACTGTTATTTGCAGTGATTTATCACTTAATTTGCATTCAATTGAGTCTGTAATTCATTAATTGGTGGCAAACCATGGCTTTGATATCAACGACTGAATTGAAGCGACTCTTAAGACTTCATTACTTGACAAACATATTATTAGCCCTTTCTTTCGTGGCCCTCAAGTGTTTGTCTCCTATTTGCGACTATCTCTTCACGTCATGTCAATTGGATTATGTATTCACCACTTCTTCCGCTTCTTATACACGCTTACCATTCATACCATTGTATTATCCATTAATGCATTTCTCTTCACATATCGATAGCGCGAAACGGAGATCATGTTCTTCACGGCTGTCATCATTATCTTCAGGACCAGAAAGCAAGGTATCCATAGATTCGCCGACTCTTTGATTGTCTCATAAAAAACTGACGCAATTGCGGATCAACTGCAGGTGCGGTCCATTTGGTGCCATACGTGAGCACTGCCTGCATGTTAGCGAAGATGGGAAACGTTTTGCTGTACTTCATGTCGGATCCGGTCTATGGTGTGCTTTACGTGAGCTGTTGTATCCGTGAGTCCCCCACCGGCTGACCACCATTTGATGCCAACCACTGATACCATTGTTGTGCCTTTTTTCAGTGCATTTACTGGTATTACCCGAACCCTCATACGAGGGACCCGAAGATATCTCGTACTTCAGAGGAGAGGACTTCACTCAAGAGCTTGAAAACGACAAACGCGTCGTTTGGCTCATAGAGCTCTACACGGCGTGGAGTCCCCCCTGTATTGACTTCTCGTCGGTCTTCTCCGAGCTCTCCGGCAAATACAGTCTTCAGAACCTAAGGTTCGGCAAAATAGATTTGGCCCGAAATGAGGAGACGGCCAAACACTACAAGATAAACACGTCGGCGCTCAGCAAACAGTTGCCGACACTCATACTGTTCCGCAACGGCAAAGAGGCTATGAGGCGACCGACGGTCAACAATAACTCCAAATTAGTTAAATTCAATCTCACCTTTGTATGTATTGGTTGTGTGTGTCCACTCATGGATTAACTCTTTTTTTGTGATACACTTTAGGATAACGTTGTGTCGGAGTTTGATTTGAATAACTTATACAATGAATGCAAAGCGACTCCGTTTAAGACTAAACCCAAGAGAGCGAAAGAGGACTAAACTGTGGTTAATGTTTGCGGACATGAGATGCAGACAATGTCTGATTGTCTTCATGTTTGGTTGCGATTCAGCGCCACATTTAAGTAGTGATGAAAGCATTTAGAATCTAATCACAGAATCTCTTATATATCACTCGATTGTCTTCTTTGCACTATTAGTCCCCATAGTATCAGACAATTGTTATATAAGTCAAGAGTTTCTTATATTTAATGAATTTTATTATTTATAATATAATATTCAAGTGTTTAATCAACTATTTTGTATGAAATCAAGAATTTTTGGCCAATAAAAACCTAATTTAAAAGATAATGTCTACTAATACTGTACATCAATGAATAACGATCAGAACTTCTTTTATTTTTAGCAAAAGTTATGAATTTTTCGATTCAAATGCACTGAAAATTAGGAAAAACTTTGTCCATCGATATACAGACCGCTTCTACAGCTCGTCCTTAGGGCCAGAGCTCGAGTGTTTGGGCGACGACTTCGGCTTCTTCGGGTCCAACGGGTCTGGTCTGGCCTCTGATAATGACTTGATCTCTGATTTGCTGCCCGGGAATGCCGAGGATGCGGACGAACGCGAGGACCCACCAATTGATCCACCATCTGATCCGCCACCGAATCCACCACTGGATCCGCCACCGGATCCGCCGCCGAAGACCGCGCTGGCGGTGCTCTCGACATAGTGATAGAGGCCGTACTTCTTGAGCAGTGGTTCACTGTATCTCTTCATCTCGAGAGCGCAGAGAAGGGCCCAGAATATGATGAGAACCACGAGTCGGAAGGGAAAGAACCATCGCTTGTAGCCATAGAAGAGCCACCGGAAGAGGATCACCACAAAGGCCTGCTTCAGACCGACGGCCACATTGAGGACGAACTTCTCCTCCAAGTGGTGTTCCTTGACGTACGCGAACACAATCTCTCGGGCTTTCATCACGTGCTCCATGGCTTGTGTGTGGTATCTGTTTGGCTGCGGTCTGGATGTGCTGTCTATTTGATGGTATAAATGCTTGTAATCTATAAAACAAAACTCAACCGATTGTCTCGACTATAACTTTGCAAATGATTTGCCGTTACTTTGGTTTGCGATTCAAACCTCGAATTTACAATAGAGTCGACAAAAATCACGCGAAATAATGACAATTACTATACAATACAAGCGAATGAGTGCTAATTGTTGAGTGAATTGTTGTATTGAATGCATTAATTGTGGTCTCATTTGAAAGTAGAAGTCATTTGGTGTCCATTGAGTGACTCTCCATTGAGTCCAACAATTCTTAGCCATTCTTCTCCGAGTTGTGTCCAAAACGAGTCGAATATGGATCACAACAACGATCTCGAAGTGGACATCGAAGAGCAGACAACTGGACCACCGATGGAACCGAGGCGTCGCCGAAGGAGTCCTTCTAGTGGTTGAAGCCGTGGCCGAACGGGTCGTTCCCGGTCTGGAGGTCGAGGCGGCCGACGCTCGCGCTCTCAAGAGGACTGTCCGCACCCGGAAGACGCGGATGTCGTGACAGGAGAAGACAGTGTCATAACTGAGTGGAGACACGCCATCCGAGTCGATGCACAGCACTAAAGCCGTTGTTTCTTATTTGCATTGATTTGTTGAACGAAATTCACTGTTTAGTCATTAAAACGAAATTTATTCTCAAATTTAAATGCTTTCAAAACCAAAACTAATTGTCTAATTGTATGAAGTGTTTGAATAATAAACAAATAATATGTCTTTATTATAGGTCTTTGTCTTATTATCTGTTATCTGATATAATCTGTATGTCATTAAAGGTTATTAAAAAACAACTTTAGTCATATATGCCCTGGTACTTTATCCAGAATAAAACTTACTGTCAGAAAAAGTTTGCCAAAAGTCGTGTTTAAAGGGAACGTATATTTTGAATGAAATGTTTTGCTTATGTTTTCAATAAACACGTGCTTTTGATGTGACGTCAGTTTGGTTTACCATTGGATGTGATCTGAGAGTGGATTTAATTGGCGAAGACATACGCGAAGAAGTGATCGCATTATCTCTGCACTCAAGCGATGGTCAAAACACGACAGAAACGATTCAATTGGAAAGCGAGACAATCGGGCCATGAAGTGGTCGCCAAGGAAGCGGATCCGCAAAAAGTGAGACATTGTTTGTCGCATCACTATTGTGGCGACCAATTGATCCATTGGGTGATAATCATGTTATATATGACACAGAAATCGGTGGCCAATAAGATAGACATCGGCGTGGATGAGACAAAATACGATTCGTGTAACGCATTGGTTTTGGACACCACGAGGAAGGGGTCCAAAACGAAGGCACCAAATGTGCCGAAAGTGGCGAAAGTTTTGTCGAAAAAACAAAAGAAAAAATTAGAGAAAGTATTGCAGCGAAAGACCCGCAAAATTAATGTAAAAAACTATTGGTTTGGTTTGATTGNGCAAAATTAATGTAAAAAACTATTGGTTTGGTTTGATTGTCGTATTAATTGGCAATTGATTTGATTTTTTATGACATGAAAAGAGAGCGAAACTATTGAGTGATTTGCAAGACGTGAGGGTTGAAGACAAGGAAATGGCGTTAATGTCGTCCACTAGTGATGTCCAGACTTTCGGTCGCAAACGGTTTGTTATAATTAACTCTTTTTTTGTGTTTAATTTTCTGATTTAAGCGAAAGATTTTTTGACTTAATTTTATGTCGTGTTTTGAATCAGATTTTTAGATAATTGTAAATCAATTAGTGATATAAATACTGAAGAGATCCATGAAATAACTGCAATTAAATACAAGACTCGCAATACGTTTAAGAAACTCAAAACTGAACCCAAAAATAAAGACTTGAATGTAATCGCAGTGTCGGACGGACTGAGCAGTAGTTCAGAAAGCGATGACACCAGTGATGAGGATAATGACAATTCAGGTGATAGTGATGTGAAAGACGCAGACAATGCTGTCGTAAATAATGATAACACAGAGTCTGAAACGAGTGAACCAAATGTTAGTGACAAAAGTGAATCCGATGTCAAACGCGACTCCAATTTAGTGACTGAAAAACCGGTTGAAAATGTTTGCGAACCCGAGAAACCGAAACCAGAAGTGACTGAAGAAGTAGTGAAGAGACAATTCGTGGCCATCGATAGGACCGATGAGATCGAGAAGTTCCGGTCGGCGCTGCCTATTGTGAACGAAGAGCACACTATAATGGACTCTGTGTTCAACAACATGTTTGTCATCGTTTGCGGCGAAACGGGTTCAGGAAAGACGACACAAGTGCCACAATTCCTCTATGAGGCCGGCTTTGCCACCAATGGACAGATGATTGGAGTGACAGAACCGCGCAGAGTGGCCGCCATCGCTATGTCTAAACGAGTGGCTCACGAGATGAACCTCTCGAGCAGTAGAGTGTCGTATCAAATAAGGTTTGACACAAACGCCACAAAAGAGACACAAATTAAGTTCATGACAGACGGCGTACTCCTCAAAGAGATACAAAATGTTTGTATTAATACTGTTATATCAAACATATATGTCTATTGATTTATGAATTGACTATTTGTTTGTGAATTAGGATTTCCTTCTGCAGAAGTATTCAGTGATAGTCATCGATGAGGCGCACGAACGGAGTCTTTACTCCGATATATTGATCGGTTTGTTGTCACGTATTGTTCCGCTCAGGAATAAAGTGAGTCTATAATTGAGCCATAATTTGACACAAAATGTATATTTGTTTTGTTATAACAGAAGAAGAATCCTTTAAAGTTAATCATAATGTCGGCGACGCTTAGGGTCGAAGACTTTACTACAAATACCAGGCTTTTTAAGAGTGTTGCGCCCGTACTGAAGGTTTGTTGTAATAGTGTTGAGTAATAAAGCAATTAAATTGAATAATGAGTGACTCGTTGACTATCAGATCGATTCGCGTCAATATCCAGTGTCCGTTCACTTCAATAAGAAGACAAACAGTGATTATCTTCACGAAGCGTTCAGAAAGGTGTGCAAAATACACGCCGAATGCCCGGCCGGTGGGGTATTAGTGTTCGTCACCGGCAGGCTTGAAGTGGAAGTGTTGTGTCGAAGACTGCGAGCGAAATATCCGAACAATAGCTATAAAAATAATAACGAAGTTTCTACTCATAAGAGTAGACAAAAACGGATCAGAAAGAGCAGTGAATGTGAAGAAAATAAGACATTAGTGACAGAGAAGGCGCCGACAATCAATTTGGATGAGTGAGTGATTTGAGTGAAACTTTTACCGTACGTTTGAATGCAATTAAAATTAATTTTATTTATCAAATTAGTTATGACGTGAATCCATTGGAAAGCGAAACAGTTTTAGACGATTTTGATTACTCTGACGATGAAAATGATGAGCAAATTGTCGACCACAACAGCGACGATGAGGACAATATCTACGCCCAGAGCCAACCCCTGTATTGTCTGCCACTGTATTCAATGCTTCCGCACTCGCAGCAGATCTCGATCTTCAAAGAGCCGCCACAGGGCTCGCGATTGTGTGTCATCGCCACCAACGTCGCCGAGACTTCGCTCACTATTCCTAACATTAAATATGTTGTCGACTCCGGAAAGGTTGGTCTCA